TCAGGGTTATGTCCGCGCCTGTCTCCAGCTGGAGTTTGAGAGAGCATCCTTTAATTACGACGTCGAGATAAGTCCGCGCACTCTCGGCGTCGAAAGCGACCACATTCTTGCACTGCCTTTTGCGACCCAAGTGTCTTGCGCTTGTCCTCCGTCGCTTCTTTCGACCAGTGCTGGCAGACTGTGGGCAGTCTCTTCTGAAATGTGGTCCTCCACATGTGAAACAGGTTACCTTCTTCTTCCATACAGTGTAGACGTCGCGTGTGCCTTCCATGTCTGTGTTATCCATTTTCAAGGCAGTAAAATTCTCACACTCCGCGACTAGGTCCTCGATTGTCAACGGTGCTTCGTCCGTATGAGCGTCCAATCGACGAATCATCCGAAGGCGCACTTCTCTAAGTGAGGGATCTTGAAGACCTGCTACGAATTGCAGCGTCTTCATTGCCGTGTAGTCGACCTCTTTAAGCCGGGCATCCTCGTCCATCCGCTTGATAGTGTTGGCGTACTCGCGGAACGGTACGTATGCTGGCGTGAGCGGAGGGCAGGTTATCCTTAGACACTCATATCGTCTTCTGATGAGAGTCTTCTTGGAGGCGAACAGCTTCTGGAGATTCGCGATGGTAGTATCGAAGTCCAAGTCGCTTGGTTGCGCAGGCAGGGCCTCATCTGCATACTTCCGGTATGCTTCTTCATCCAGCTTCATGAAGATCAAGTCGCGCTTCTTCTGATCCGAAAGCTGGGAGTCGCGAATGACCGGTCCATACCTGCCATACCAGTAAGCAAATGTATTACCTGTCTCTTCGTCTGAGGTAAATCTCTGCACGTCCTTGCTCAGCTGGTCATATTGATCCTTACTGGCGTCCTGGACGGCTATCCTTTGGTTACTGGTCAAAGCAGTGACCAACGTCTTCATCTGCTCCTGTTGTGCTTGCCACTGCATTTGCATTTGCTCCTGTTGTGCTTGCAACTGCACTTGCATTTGCTCTTGTTGGGCTTGTAGACGAGCCTGCATTTGCTCCTGTTGAAGCTGCATATGCAGCTTCATCTCCTCCTGTTGGAGCCGCATCTGGTCGACCATGACTGATAGGACCTTCTCCAGAGAATCGTGACCATGCCGTTCTTCACTGGCTTTCGGCATGGTGGACCTCTCCTCAACGACTTCTTCTGTTGAATCGATAATCTTCTTAACAGAGCTTACTTGTTTGGCTGTCCTCGACCTGTGACAGCTTCCTTCTTGATCCGAGCTGCAGCAATTCTTCTTGTCCTTGGAGGCTTCTGGTCCTTGGTCGCTGCAGCTTCTTCTGGTCCTTGATCGGTGGAGGCTTCTTCTTGTCCTTGATCCTGATCGCCAGTTGTAGTAGAACGCGTTCAGTCGTTGACGATTTAATAGAAAAACACAAGAGTTCCCCCTCTGCCTATCGGCGTACATGCCGAGGGTTCACTAGGAATAGCTCGAGAACAACACACACAAATATATCAAAGTGCGGCGGGTACGCCGCAACCACAGAGACCATATCGACCTAGCCTATAGTGAGCGAGCAAGTTCCAATAAGGGACGGCTCTACAACAGCAGCGTCCAGGCAAAACTTTGCCTCTCATGTTTCTGCCACTGGGGCCTTCCCGTGGCCCTGATTACAGTTGTGAAGTCCAAATTGTTCAAAACTCCCAAAAACCTGGTTCTAGGGGACCCTCTCTTCAAGGAGCGGACGAGTTTTGAATTGCTCGTCCCCATCGTCATGCCAGCGGGAGGAGCTGCAACTGTACGGATGCAGTTGCATTGCAGTGTGCAGTGCAACTGCAATGCAACCGCACACCTGCGTAAGCACTCGTCCTCAGGGGTGGTTTATACGAAGGGGCGGCTTGTAATACGTATCACAGACCCGTATCTCCTTTTAAAGGTCACGTCAAAGGATTGGACCAACGCAGATCGGATGCTCATGGGCCCCTCTTTACAACTATGTACTAATCTGGGTGGATGGATCTTGCCTGGACGCTGCCTTTAACTTGCCTTCAAAACCCGGAATTCGCTCCATCACTGGTATGAGTATTGAGTTTCTCATAGTTTCTTCTCGCTATAGTGAAAATTTGGAGCCGAACACCCCACCCTTAGAAAACTTATAGCCCTTTCAATAAGCCCATTCAGATCAAGATTAGCCGTCAAATTACGTGTGGTTGTAGAGTGCAGTCACAGAAAATTGGGCGTACAGTTGTCAAAAATCTGAAAACTTTCTAGAAAAGGATGATGTCCTCCAAAATGTCACACTCTGAGGTTCGGAAGTCAAGAGCAGGAAGAAGGGTTCATGGGGGGGGGGTCGTGTTCGAAAAACTTGTGCCTGACCTCTTGCTCAACTCTGGTCATTTACTCAAAGCATGCTGATCAGCTTTCGGTTCACACTTCAAATTATGTCTTTGACAAAACTCCAACGCTTGAATCCTAGGTATGGCCAGGGTCAAGCGTGGGGGGGGGGTGGCGTGCCACCCCTGAGGGATCGTATTGAGGAGTCAAAAGGGGAAGAGATTGTAGTTGGGTAATCTGATAATAGTGATAACATGATATTCGTATCATATCCATAATTAGCTTCAATTAACCCCTGCAGACAAAGTTTGAGCGAATTCTGAAGATTCAGGATACTAAGCTACCTAAGTGAAATGGTCATATTCCAACATGGTTAACTTTGTTTCAAAGGTGAATTAGCTATTCGTTTTTGCACTCAAGACAAAGCACTACTCCTTCTTTGTCCATCTCAGAAATCCCGCTTCAAAAGCCTCCAAACTGTGAAATTAGATGCCAACCAAATTCTCATTTTTCCCATTTCTCGCTTTTGATGGCTGTGCTTTCACCAAATATTGCTCAGAGCTAAGAAGACGAATCAGGCTCAAATCACTCTCGTTAAAACTAGGAGATCTAGGCTATCGATTGATCTAAATACTGTTCGCTAAAAATGTTTTTTTTATATAGTTAATGGAGTGTGCCACAGCCATTAACTATGTCATAAAAACATTTTTAGCAAACCTTATTTATATGAATCGATAGCCTAGATCTCCTAGTTTTAACAAGAGTGATTTGAGCCTGATTCGTCTTCTTAGCTCTGAGCAATATTTGGTGAAAGCACAGCCATTAAAAGCGAGAAATGGGAAAAATGAGATTTTGGTTGGCTTCTAATTCCACAGTTTGGAGGTCTCTTGAAGCGGGATTTCTGAGATGGACAAAGAAGGAGTAGTGCTTTGTCTTGATTGCAAAAACGGATAGCTAAATCAGAAACAAAATTAACCATGTTGGAATACGACCATTTCACTTAGGTAGCCTAGTATCTTAAATCTTCAGAATTCGCTCAAACTTTGTCTACAGGGGATAATTGACATGCTCATTATGGATATGTTGCCCATAATGTTTGACAGGGCCTTCAGGTAATGCTATCTTAGGTATATAATTCAGGGGGAGGGGGGAGTCTTATTAAGACAGCAATCAGGGGGGGGGGGTGTCGTAACCAGCGATCATGTGCCACATCCCTTGCTTGACCCTGGGTATGGCTGTCACTGGAGGCAACCGATGCGATTTTGGAATTTTGGATCAAACTCGGGTACTTTAAAATTTCAGAAATTTTGTTTGTAGTTGAATTTAACACGTTTCGGATCGCGAGATCGCGTCCGGCGAAAAAGTACTTTCAGCCGTTAGCCCACAAAGGGACCTTATTTCGCAGACCGTGGGCTACATCTGTATTCAGCATGTCAGATAAGCTCCATACCCAAAGTTCTGAGTGAATGAAGTGTTTAAACTTTTTCGCTTGAGAGGGACTTCTGTGCTTCCTTAAAAAGTAGGAGTAAGAACTCAGTTTCAAATAGTATCTAAAAGTATCTGTGTTGTACTCGGTACACACCATTATTGAACTTTGGTTTTTCTCATTGAAATTAAAACAAAGAAACGTTGCGAGGTCGCACGCGTCGTTCGCATTGCCGCACTTCGTTGCAACTGTTGATCGATTTGTGCTCATATCTCCTAAGAAAATACCGGCGACACAACTCTACAGAGTCATTTGAAAAGTAGAAGCTTAGGCTTTTAACTTGATAACCTTGGACTAAAAGAAACCTCCTGTGAACGTTAAAAAGATCCTTTAAAGCAGCGTGCTGCACCAGTGGAGCACCGGTCCGAAACGTGTTAACTTATTCCAGATGCAAAAAATTTCACACATGTGCCAGTTAAAAGTCTGCTTCAATCTATTTTGATTCAATCACATTCTGGTATTCAGGACTAAATTTCTTACAAATCCATGCTACGGATTATTTTAATGTCAATTCATAGATTTCGAGAACCCTTAAACCTGAGTTTTGGTCTTGCCTTGATATAGGAAATTTTGAAAACCTCTAGATTCAAAGTTTGATCTTGGTTAAGCATTATCGATGCTGAACGTTGACTTTGCGACGAATAAATCTCACTGCTGAAAAGAGCACCTCGAAAACCCCTAAGTCTGAAATTTGGTCTTGATTGGAACGATGCTGCAATGATAAAATATCATAATTCTTGAGAAAACTACAAAAAAATTAGGCAATTTTGAAAACTTTTTCAAGGCAATGCAAATTCCGATTTATAGAAAATATCCATTTGGGAGGAAAAAATTTGCGTACTGTTGATTTGCGCATTTCACAAACACTCTACATTGAGAAAGGAGAGATATCCCAAAAGCTAGAATCGACTATCAACTCGCATTCGACAGCACTCGAATAGAATTTAGGCGAAATTCGATTGCTCGGAAGATCTAAAACTTCTTTACTGGCCGGCTACAAAGTAGACGGAAACTGCAGACATTCTATCATGCCGCTTTGTTAATTTTCACTAGCTTCGCAATTTTCTCACCATAGATAATCGCCATGGTGCAAATTGCACTTCTCGGATCGTATCTTAGGTGTGAAAGAACCTTACCGGTTATCCGGCATCTTACCGTGAGGCAAACAACAGCCGATGGTCATTGCCATGGTATGATTCACTCTTTTTCAAGTGGTGCCCTCAATTTCTGGCCTTACTGCAATGGTAATACTGATACAGTTCTTTGACGGGCAAAACCATGCTCTTGTACAGGCAACACGGACTGCGGATCAGCCTCCACCAGCTAACACCCTTACAACCACGTAAGTTTCTTATATCTATGTTTGGAGATTGAGACTTGACGTGCTTTCATCAGTTTTGGTCTCGTCGTCCAGCTTACAGCAAAGGCATACCATAAATGAAGTCATATGCCCCTGTGTTTTTTAAAAGTTAGGCCCGTATGCACGTATATCCCCGCGGGGAGGGGAGGGGATCTGAGAGGGGATGCGCCGTAACGTGCTACTCTAGATATCTTTCTTCTTTTTCTATCTGGCTTATGAAGGTTCTCATACCTTGATATCTGCGCGTAATGGATGCCAGGACATTGCTACGCAGGCTGAGATTCTTATCATTATATGTGATCCTCAGGGAATCCCTAGGGGATCACCTCACATAAATTTGAACTTGCACAGATAGCTTTGGTTTTCTTGCAAATTTGAAGTGAAGAGGACTATCTGGTGATAGCGCTTGCTTTGGCACATTGTTGCTCTTCACTTTTCACACAATTGATGCGTGTTCCGGTCCTTCTAGCTCTTCTGATGACAACCACTTGACATTTTTGCATTCGATATCAATTGAAATTGATATCGAATGCCAAAATGTCAAAGTGATCGGGAGGCTTCGTATAAAAAGTCCTTCCTCCCCCTCCCTCTCCCCAGCCGTAGTGGAGAAACCTACTCACTACGTGGATCAAGAGGTGCGAAGTAGGTGTGAGATAGGTGCGAAGTCTCCGATCGTATGAAAAGTCCCCCTCCCGAAAGAAATTTTTTGGGGCCGTGGCGTCACGACGCATTTTTTTTGAAGTTTCGGGGCTATGGGTCCACATCTCAGGAAGCATAGCAAAATTTTTTTGGAGTGTGTGGCTGCGCCACGCGACTTCATTAGAAAGTTTTTTTATTGCGTCCCTCCTCGGGCGGAAATCCTGGTACGTCACTGAGTACAGTAGCATGATAAAGGACCCCTCCAGCATAATGAGTTCACTCGTAAATAGCATGTCAAACAACTCCATCGATCAAGATTTCGAATTTTGAGGTCTCTAAATAAAGGGCCACCCAGGTGAAATTGTCATTTTCGAACCCGATTAACTTTATTTTGAAGAGCTACCTCTTTCCTCGATATAAAGCACCACTATTCCTTTGCACAAATAAGAGATGTTTCTTCAAATTATGAAACTTCGCTAAAGGCTGTGCTTTCAGTAGCTGTTACTCAGACTGAAGAACATGAATCGGGCTAAAATTTTCTCTGTGCATTCTAAGATAAGCGTACTATCGACTTTGTATCATTCATTCTCTGATCAAAGGACGCGTGCATGCTTGCGTACTATCTGACTAACAAGTTTACTAGTGCGTTTAACGCGTTCTGGAAAACTACCAACAGAAACCGTGAAAAAATCTGCTCAAGCTTGTCAAACAAGTTTGAACATGTCTTCCATGAATTCCCAATAGCAATTTGTCAAAACGCGTTGAACGCACTCTTGAACCAAGGCTCGGCACGGTGGCTTTCCGAAAATGCAAAAAACGAAGTCCTTTTTCACTTTCTCATTTAACGAAGTGACCCTAAACCAAAAGTGAGAGATCCTCGAAAAACGAAACGTCGACTAAAAAATGTCGCGACTTTCGGTCGCAAGAGCAGTATCCCCTTTGCTTTTTGTCCAAAAAACGACATTCAGGTTGCTTACAAGCCACCTTTGCCGAGCCTTGCACTTAAACTTGTTAATCAGACATACGCAAGTGCGCTCGCGTCTCTTAGTCAGAGAATGAATGACATCAATATTTTTGCCTCGCAAAGGTATACATGCTGGAAAAGGACTTTTTTCTCGCAGTAAGAGTAAAGCTTCCGGATGAAATTCCTGCTGCAAGAAAAGAAGTTTTAGCGCATACTGTGACGTAAGAAACATTCGTGCTTTGAAGACAGCGTTCGGGCAAAGTTTCGAATGGAATTTTGTTCGCTTACCTGGGGTTTATTCCTTCCTCCCGCTGATTTTAAAAATGCAGCTTGGAGGACACGAAAAGGCCGAAAACGGGCTTTTTCAGAAGCTCTTGATGCCGCCTGTCGCCAAGGCCAAGACGCAGAGTCTTTGTGGGACCCTACGTCTTGACTGTGTGCGGTATGCGCACTCTGGCTTATCGAACGAACTCGCACCGGTCGCCGGGCGTTCCGGTCGCCACTTCTGAAGCGGATTTCTCGCTTCAGAACCAAATTGGTACATTGCCAGTTGGGCAAGAGCCTTAACAGGACGGGCGCCCTTGTACTTTGCATATTCGTATCTGCCCGAACGCTGCTTTTAAGGCAATGTACCAATTAATAAGTTAATAAGGTGTGGCACAACCTTAAAAAAGTGTGACGGCTACACCTTTTTGGGGTTGTGCCACACCTTTCCAGTGCGTCACCTCTGCTTCGCAGAGGTTCGGTGGCTTTACTGACCGTGAGCCCTTCGCACTGGCTTTACTATCCGTGTGTCTTCTGCGTGATCGCGTAATAACGGCTTTGAAACTCACACCACGATACCGGTCATTACGTTCTTAATCAAACTTCTTTCTTTGAAGCAGATTCAACGCACTATTGAGAAGCTCTTTTAATCCTCTATACAAAGCTGCTTAAAACGGACATTTAGCCTAGTTTGTTAAAAATTTATAGAGCTTCAAATGACCCCACTCAAAACCAAATTTTTGTTGCATGCACTTGTCTGGCCAGAACTCAAGCGCAAATTGAGGCGCGTTTTCAAAAATTTAGCCACTATATGTAATGGAAATTCTCTACATTATACATACTCAACCATATTTTTTAAAGTTATTTAGGCTAAACTATCGGCGCCTTAACAGGGTAATGGTTGCGATCATTTTAAGGCCCACATCTTTCTTTCGTAGAATGCAATCCCTGAAGTTTTACTCATTTCTATAAGCGTGAGGGTGAAGCATTTTGCTGACCGCTTTAACAAAGGCATTCAACTGTAGCACGCAGAAAATCAGAAAATTCTATGATTCGGGATTTTGAGGCTTACTGAAAAAATGCTGAAAAAATTGATATATTCAAATTCTGATTTTTTTCCTTTCCGCTAATCTCTTTTCTCCATGCTCTTTCCATATTTGTTTGTACTACCGGCTTGCGGCTACAAGATAGGCTATTTATAAATTATACTAACAAACTGTGAAGGGAATTATGTTTTGTCAAAAACGAAACTCCAGAAAAAGAACTTGTTTTGTTTATCAATTCATATTTTTCTGCCCATGTGAGATATGAGTTCAATTTAATGTGCGTTGTATGCGAAAGGTTCGCTGCATCCGATAATCTTTACCAGATTTGGAAAAGTAGATTGTATAGAAAGTTATAGCAAGTTGAAATGAAAATTTGAAAAACGCTCATTATTTTTGCATCAACCTAATATTTTGGCTTTATAGCCAACATAAGGATAACAATAACCTTGATTATATTAGGTCGTTTCAAAAGTAATTTCGCTTTTTCCAAACGGGCACCACATTTGACAGAACAAAGGTTTTTAAGAGATCTTGGAGGCATTCGATTCAGAAATTCATTCTCTTTCTAATGCTTATGAAATTGTTGCAAAACAGCCAATGAACTTTCAGAAAATATCAGAATCTGCGACCCATGCTTTTTGAGATGGTCAAGTTTCACAATTTTTAAAACTTTCATATCGATCCTCAGAAGGAGTTCAAGTAACGATTCGATAGAGTAAACCTTATAGAATACAGTACTACTTTTTTCTCCTTTCCATAGCCTGTCATACATTTTCAACAGAATTTTAACTGATGTTACCGATTTCCATACTTGGGCAGCTAAATCCTTGTAGAACATCAAAAGAAGAGCAGCTCGCGCACTATTCGATGCAGCATTTACTCCTCTTTCTAACAGATGTTTTTTTTTTTGATTCACTTGGTTTTCGGGGATGAAATCATCATAACTCATTTTTTTTAGCTAGCCCCAGGCTGTACCGAAAAAATCGAAAATTTTTTTTAATCCGTAAGCTCTCAATTGCATTGTAAAATCAATATTAAGTCATATACCATCTTGGAAGTTTCAAATTCCGAATAATTACCGTTGTTTGATGCATTGTGCCTGACTAGGCCGGCCAAAATTCGATGGATTTGTTCAAAAAATCTTCTAAAAATTACGGCGGGCTATGAAAAAGAGAAAGAAGTTATGCTGTGTTCTAAAAGGTTTGCTCTATCGAATCATTACTTGATCTCCTTCTGAGTATTGGTATGAAAGTTTTAAAAAATTGTGAAGTCGACCATCTCAAAAAGCATGAATCGCAGATTTTGGATATTTTTTGAAAGCTCATTGACTGTTTTGCAACAATTTCATAACCATTAGAAAGAGAATGAAATTCTAAATCGAATGCCTTCAGGATCTCTTAGAAATCTTTGTTCCGTCAAATGTGGTGCCCGTTTGAAAAAAGCGAAATTACTTTTGAAACGACCTAATATATTGAAAAATCCTTTCAATTTTCAAAGTAAAAGACTTGGTAGATTGAGAATTTGCACAGGTACACCTTTTTGGCGCCAGTTTTACGTAAAAATAGACTTATTGCTTGCTTTTTGGGCTGAAGTATATGTTTTTCGGATTTAGTTGTTGAACAAACTCACGACTTGCGAAAAGTTCAACTACCGACCCATCTTGGCGGGCCGTCGCGTGCATCCCTTTGACGCACACTTTATTGGTTCCAGTTACTGGATCAGCTTGTGCTTTTGCACAGTTTAGCTACACGCTGATAGGATGCTGTGACAAAAATTCTAGCTCAAGACGTTGGCTGCACCTTGCTATATGAATTTCGTGACAGACAAACATACAGACAGCTTACGCTTTATTATAGGTCACTAACTGGCTTACCCGGCTCCGCCCGGCCCTGTCAAAACACTATGACAAAGCTCTAATCCCTATTCCTGTACAACCATCCCCTTTGCCCTCGTCTACATGCCAATTCACTATTTCCGCTGTTTTGGTAATCAGCATGCTCGAAACCCATGTGTCAATTCCCAGCCCCGTAGCTCAACCTTTGCAAAAAATCGATAAAATCGATAAAAGT